GGCAGGGCTGTGCAGACACTGTCTGGGATGTGCGGACACTGGCTGGGGTGTGCGGACACTGGCAGGGCTGTCTGGACACTGGCACGGCTGTGCAGACACTGGCAGAGCAGTTCCGTCGGCTGCACGGTGACGCTCGGCGCGGCCGGCTGCTGTCGGTGACGCCGGCCGCTGTCCGGTGGCCGCTGTCTGGTGACCGCTGCTGTCAGTGACCGCTGCTGTCTGGTGACCGCCGGGCGCTGCCGGCCGCTGTCGGCAGGTCAATAAGACGATGTGGAAGAAGTGCTGTTTCTCCGGTGACGGGGAGTACGTGTGCGCTGGCTCGGCGCGCCAGCACGACCTCTACATCTGGGAGCGGTCGGTGGGCACGCTGGTGAAGATCCTGCAGGGCACCAAGGGTGAGCTGCTGCTGGACGTGGTGTGGCACCCGGTGCGGCCCATCGTCACCTCCATTTCGGCCGGCGTCGTCTCCGTCTGGGCCCAGAACCAGGTGAGACGGCCCGGGAGGCGGCCCAGAACCAGGTGAGACGGCCCGGAGGCGGCCCAGAACCAGGTGAGACGAGCCGGGAGGCGGGGAGACGGGCCGGGAGGCGGGGAGACGAGCCGGGAGGCGGGGAGACGGCCCGGGAGGCGGGGAGACGGCCCGGGAGGCGGCACAGAACCAGGTGAGACGGGCCGAGAGGCGGGGATACGGGCCGGGAGGCGGGGAGACGGACCGGGAGGCGGGCCGAGAGGCGGGGAGACGGGCCGGGAGGCGGGGATACGGGCCGGGAGGCGGGGAGACTGGCCGGGAGGCGGGGAGACGGCCCGGGAGACTGGGAGGCGGGTGGGGAGACTGGGAGGCCCTCTGGCACTGTTTCAAAGCCCCGTCTCATTTGCTGGCTGCCGTTTGCAAGCCGCTGTCCGTGCTGTTCAGGGAAGGAATTTGGCCGCTACAGTCTGACCGCACCGGTGCCTGTGCCTTTTTGAAGCTGTACCTATCCGACCTGCTACTTTCCCAGGGTGTACTCGATCCGCTGCCTTTCATGGCTTTACTGTAACCACCCTGCTACCTTTCCGAGGCTGTACACGATTCGTTACCCTCAAAGGCTGTTCTCTGCCTTCCCAATCCTGTTCAGCCGGGTCATGCTGTCAAGTCAGCCAGGAGGGAGCCCCCGCTCTGACCCTGCCTACCCCTCCCCCCAATCTCCCCCCGCTCTGACCCTGCCTACCCCTCCCCCGCTCTGACCCTGCCTACCCCTCCCCCAATCTCCCTCCCGCTCTGACCCTGCCTACCCCTCCCCCAATCTCCCCCCGCTCCGACCCTGCCTACCCCTCCCCCCAATCTCCCCCCGCTACGACCCTGCCTACCCCTCCCCCAATCTCCCTCCACCGCTCTGACCCTGCCTACCCCTCCCACCAATCTCCCCCCCCCCCCTCTGACCCTGCCTACCCCTCCCCCGCTCTGACCCTGCCTACCCCTCCCCCGAATCTCCCGCTCTGACCCTGCCTACCCCTCCCCCAATCTCCCCCTCTGACCCTGCCTACCCCTCCCCCAATCTCCCCCTCTGACCCTGCCTACCCCTCCCCCAATCTCCCCCCGCTCTGACCCTGCCTACCCCTCTCCCCAATCTCCCCCTCTGACCCTGCCTACCCCTCCCCCAATCTCTCCCCCGCTCTGACCCTGCTTACCCCTCCCCCCGCTGTGACCCTGCCTACCCCCCGCTCTGACCCTGCCTACCCCTCCCCCAATCTCCCCCTCTGAACCGGCCTACCCCTCCCCCAATCTCCCCCTCTGACCCGGCCTACCCCTCCCCCAATCTCCGATTCTCCCCCCCCGCTCTGACCCTGCCTACCCCTCCCCCGAATCTCCCGCTCTGACCCTGCCTACCCCTCCCCCAATCTCCCCCTCTGACCCTGCCTACCCCTCCCCCAATCTCCCCCTCTGACCCTGCCTACCCCTCCCCCAATCTCCCCCCGCTCTGACCCTTCCTACCCCTCCCCAATCTCCCCCCGCTCTGACCCTGCCTAGTGCCTACCCCTCCCCCAATCTCCCCCTCCCCCGCTCTGACCCTGCCTACCCCAATCTCCCCCGCTCTGACCCTGCCTACCCCTCCCCAATTTCCCCCTCTGACCCTGCCTACCCTCCCCCAATCTCCCCCCGCTCTGACCCTGCCTACCCCTCCCCCCAATCTCCCCCTCTGACCCTGCCTACCCCTCCCCCAATCGCCCCCTCTGACCCTGCCTACTCCTCCCCCAATCTCCCCCTATGACCCTGCCTACCCCTCCCCCAATCTCCCTCCCCCCGCTCTGACCCTGCCTACCCCTCCCCCCAATCTCCCCCCGCTCTGATCCTGCCTGCCCCTCGCCAATCTCCCCCCGCTCTGACCCTGCCTACCCCTCCCCAATCTCCCCCCGCTCTGACCCTGCCTACCCCTCCCCCAATCTCCCCCTCTGACCCTGCCTACCCCTCCCCCAATCTCCCCCCCCCCGCTCTGACCCTGCCTACCCCTCCCCAAATCTCCCCCCCCCCGCTCTGACCCTGCCTACCCCTCCCTCCAATCTCCCCCCGCTCTGACCCTGCCTACCCCCAGTCTGACTCCGTCCTCTGTCCAGGTGGAGAACTGGTCGGCGTTCGCGCCCGACTTCAAAGAGCTGGACGAAAATGTGGAATACGAGGAGCGCGAGTCGGAGTTTGACCTGAGCGACGAGGACCGGACGGTGGCGCAGGCGCCGGGCGCCGCGCGCCACGACGAGGCCCTGGAGGTGGACGTGACCGGCGTGGAGCCGATCCCGGCGCTGCGCAGCAGTGACGAGGAGGGCGACGGCGTCGGCGACCTCGACTACCTGCCCATCGCGCCCGAGGTCAGTCAGCGCCGCCCGGCACCCGCAGCCCGCACCGCGCGCTGGCAGGCCGCCGCCGCAGTTTGTGACAAAGATCCATGCTTCCCTAGGAATGTGTTACGTTCGAGTTTGTCCTAGGTCTCCTTCACTGGGTGCGATTTCACGGTCGTGTCAAATGCTGACCCCGCTGGTCAGCTGAGTATGGGAGGTGGCTATACTGTGGCCTGTGGGCCGGGACACCTGCACTGGAAACGGTCGCTAATTTTGGGTCAGTCCAGATTAGATCACTGTGTGACTTATGTTAACTGCTTAACTTATCCAGCTCCCTTTTTCACATGTTTGTACATGTGGACACCCCCCCCCCAGTGGGTCGCGAGCTAATGCGTGGGACGCTGACTGTCCGCTGACCGGTGACACTGATGGCTGACATTGAGCGCTGACTGCTGACTGCTGACTGTCCGCTGACTGCGACAGTGACCGCTGGCCGCTGACTGTCCGCTGACTGCTGACTGTCCGCTGACTGCTGACTGTCCTCTGACCGCTGACTGCTGACTGTCCGCTGACTGCTGACTGTCCACTGACTGCTGACTGTCCGCTGACTGCTGACTGTCCAGTGACTGCTGACTGTCCGCTGACTGCTGACTGTCCGCTGACTGCTGACACTGACCGCTGGCCGCTGACTTTCCGCTGACTGCTGACTGTCCGCTGGCCGCTGTCCGCTGACTGCTGACTGTCCCCTGACCGGTGACACTGACGGCTGACATTGAGCGCTGACTGCTGACTGCTGACTGTCCGCTGACCGCTGACTGTCCGCTGACCGCTGACTGTCCGCTGACTGTCCACTGACTGCTGACTGTCCGCTGACTGCTGACTGTCCACTGACCGCTGACTGTCCACTGACCGCTGACTGCTGACTGTCCGCTGACCGGTGACACTGACAACTGACATTGAGCGCTGACTGCTGACTGCTGACTGTCCACTGACCGGTGACACTGACCGCTGTCCGCTGACTGTCCACTGAACGCTGACTGCTGACTGTCCGCTGACCGGTGACACTGACGACTGACATTGAGCGCTGACTGCTGACTGCTGACTGTCCACTGACCGGTGACACTGACCGCTGACTGCTGACTGTCCGCTGACTGCTCACTGTCCGCTGACTGCTGACTGTCCGCTGACTGCTGACTATCCGCTGACTGCTGACACTGACCGCTGGCCGCTGACCATTTATTTATTTATTTCACGTCAAAGGCCCTATCCACACAGGTGTGGCTATTCCAGGACCAGATTCACATTAAACAGAGTATCGGGTGATCACTTACGTAAAAGCAAACGCACAAGCACACACTCGATCACACGCTCCCAGACATGGGGTCGTCACGAGCCGACGTCACTGGCAGGCAGCTGCCGCTGTAGCATATAACTCCGCAGCTCTCTTTTGAATAGCCGCGTGCTCTTGTCACGAATGGTTTGTGGCAGATTATTAAAAGCTGTCACAGCGGAATATAAAAAGCGCCTCCTGCCTGATTCCGTTCACTGACCGCTGACACTGACTGCTGACCGCTGACCGGTGACCAGTGACACTGACTGCTGACGGTCCGCCGTCAGGTCGAGGAGCCCGAGGAGGGCTGGCCCCACGACGGCGGCCCCGAGCAGCAGCAGAGCCGGCGGGACAGCCGCGACAGTCCCAAGAAGAAGCGCGCCAAAATGGTGGACATCGCGCTGGCGGGCGCGCCGTCCGACGAGCCGCACCCGCTGCTCAGCAGCCGGCCCGCCAAGGACAAGCCGGCCAAAAAGACCGCCAGACACAAGGCAGACGCCAAGAGGAAATAGGCGCGGCGCCGGGGGTCAGCGAGAGGGGAGGGGTTCGTCGCCAGTGGGGCCGGCCGCCGGCCCGGTCCGACAGGCGACCAGCACGTGTCCGCCGCGCCGCCGCCACCGCTAGGTACTGTCGGGTACGCGCCGCCGCCACCGCTAGGTACTGTCGGGTACGCGCCGCCGCCACCGCTAGGTACTGTCGGGTACGCGCCGCCGCCACCGCTAGGTACTGTCGGGTACGCGCCGCCGCCACCGCTAGGTACTGTCGGGTACGCGCCGCCGGCCGCCGGGCGGTGCGAGGCGTCCACATTCATCAATTCATGTCGTCGTTTAGTTCCCGGTCGTGAATTTAGAATACGCCATTGTGAGATGAAAATGTATTCGGAAAGTCTGCGAAATTCATGACTCTGGGCTCTGGCGAACTCAACAGAATGAACAGACGCCCTGAAACAGCGCAGGGGACAGCACAGCACAGAGCGGGTCAGTCGGCCCGGCTGACCGATCTTCACGTGACAGGTTCGTCGGACGCGGCGAGTAGGTAGGACGGCGACTATTGCGTCCATGAGACTGATTAACAAAGCGAATAGTTGATGCGCAATAGTATGATAGCTCCGTGGAGCGTGGGAGGGGTTGTTGGGGAGGGGCCGCTCAAAGACAGTGACGGCGCGGGTGGCGCCACCCAGTGCCGTCACGGTGACGCTGTCAGGCCGTCACTGGACGACCGGCAGCGGCGGCCGTCACTGTCCCGTCACCCGAGTAGCGTCCCTCCAAACACCCGGACGCACCCTCCAAACACCCGGACACACCCTCCAGACACCCGGACACACCCGCCACAGCTGGTCACCGCCAGCGAGTGCAGCTGCTCATCGGCCGGCAGCTTTCACACGTGTAAAAAGGTCACACCTTTATTTGCACAGGGCATCACGTTTGTGTTCCAAAGGATCTCGTAATCTTGCATCACGAGCATCACATCACCTTTTATCCGTGGTCAATCGCCTTTTTCCGGATCACTGCCGGTGTCGCTAGTGTTGGCGGCGGTGCGGCCGGGCCGTACGGATGCCGGGCGGCAGTGTGCCCCTAGCGGCCGTCGGCGGCCTCCGGGACGGGCTCGTCGCCGTCGGACGCCGAGTCGAGCGGCCACATGTCCTCCGAGTCGTCCGAGTCGGTCAGCTCGTCTAGCAGCGAGTCCTCCTCCTCGTCCTCCTGCTCGGCGTCGCCCAGCTCCTCCGCCAGAGGAGGCTCGTCTATCTCCTCCACGTCCATGTTGATCTCAATGCGCATCCTGGGCAACAGGGAGGGTCGGTCAGCGCCCAACTGTGGGGGGGGGGGGCACCCGACGGTTGTGGGACTACGAGCACCAGACAGGGGGGGGGGGTATTACTCTTGTCATGAACAGCAGCGACCTATGAACGTATGACAGCCCTTTGAAGGGTCATTTTCCGGTTTGCCGACTCGGTCGTAGGTAATGTGACCTCAGTACCATGCGAGGTCGGCTTTCATAGCTGATATTGCGCGCAACGACGTCGCAGCTATTGCAATGGAGTAATTCTAAAAATGACTCAATTTGCAAAGCGGAGTTCCCATTAGGGTTTGCTGATGCCCCGCGGATGACCATCAGTGCCGCCGCCGACGGAGGCGGGCCGGGGTCTCACCTGGCGTCCATGACCAGCAGCGTCACGGTGAGCAGCACGGGCAGCCGCACGCGGCACCGCCACGCCAGGTGCCACAGGAAGAGCAGCGTCGACTTGACGCCCGGCTGGAGCGCCGTGGCCGCGCCCAGCGCGCCGAACAGCGGCATCGCCGCCGGCGGGCGGCCGGCCCCGCCCTGTGTGAGCGAGTGCAGGCGTCCGCCCCGGCGGCCGGCTATCGGACCGAGGTCAACAAAGGCAGCCGACTGAGAACGACCGTGGCTCAATCGTCTCGGTAGCGTTAGCGTCTTCCTTTCTTGTGTGCTCTGGTTATTTTGTTTCCTCTAATTTTTCTGTCTAAGACGTTTCCTTGAACGTTTCCTTCTTCATTCCAGGCCTACTTTTAGCTCCACTATATACACAATCCACATTTAAAAAGGAATAAGTTTATATTCTGAGAGTCTCCCTGTAGCGTCTGGTGCCAGCCTGCTGATGGCGAGGGACGAGACAACATCTGGTGACACCACAGCCACACCAGCTGAACTTCAGCAACAGCACACAGCACAGCTACTGCTCACTCCGCCAGCCTGCTGATGGCGAGGGACGAGACAACATCTGGTGACACCACAGCCACACCAGCTGAACTTCAGCAACAGCACACAGCACACTGCACAGCTACTGCTCACTCTGCTGGTAGAGCCGAGGTGCCCTATGTCCTAACCCCAATCGAAAACCTATGATGGGGAATCATGGAGGGGGAGCTCATCAAGACTGAACCAGCTCCCACAGAAAACGGACTTAAAGGGACCCTCCGGCTCCCACCTTCAAAAAAGTTAATGAATTGGCATGAAAGTGATGTCGCTCGGTTCAGAAAGAGCGAAAAGGAATATCTACCAAATTTCATCGAAAAATATTCACCGGTTTTCAAGATATTACTTTTACTTCTTTTTGGGATCTCCGCTGTTCCTAGCGACTTTATTTGAAAGTGCGGCATTTGTTGCGCGCAAAGCAGCATATACCACCGCGTGCTACCAAACGTTTTAGTAAAAGATTTAAAAATCGTTAGATCTCCGTTGACGTCACAAATTCTAAGGGGGCATTCCAATGCATTAGCCCCTTAGAATCCGAAAACTGCAAGTTTGAAATTCCATATCTCCGAATTAAAGCATTTTTCGATGTTGCGAGTGCCCAAACCGGTATTTTCAGGCCATGGCCACCAATTTGGCTATCTCAACTCAAAACTAATGTTAAGGTGGGATGGTCACTTTAAGAGAAACCTGTGAAAGGTGTGGCTGAACATCAGCGCGGATACTCTGGACATCTTGATCTATGGAATGTCAAAGGGGATGAGGCAATGGGTGGGACAGGGCAGGGGATAAATTGGTAAATAAACCATGACCCGGGGACTCTTTCTTTATTAACCCGCGCGGGGCTGGGGTCTCCAGCCGAACGCGCGGGGATGGGGGGGGGGTAAATTGTACCCCCCCTGTTATCTCCCGAGCTTATGGTCCGATTTGGAAAATTCAAACGCCAATCGAAAGATCTCATCACGAACAACTAAAAACATGTACTTAATTTAAAGTTTGAGGTCAAGGTCAAGGTCAAACCGAGGTCAGCTGTCAAAAGCGTGGTTTTTGAGGTTGCAATGCTACGGAGATCAGGCAATGGAAGCTATGAGCTTAATAATTCATGGAGAGCCTTCACTTTAATGCAGCAAGGTGCTTTGAGACCGTTAGGCTGGTGGCATGACCGGGTCAGTTCATGATGAGGTCACTAAAGGTCACCATAGTACAAAAATCGCCTATAGTGACGTAACATTTTTGCTTATTTCTCGAAAAGTTTTCAACCGATTTTATTTTTATTTGGCAGAAAGGTGTAAAATTGATATAAGAAAAAGTACTGAAAGTTTGGCGGCGCTGCGCGCCGCCGTTTTTGGGATATTGCAAAAATTCGCGAGGGGGGTTAAAATTTCACCCCCCCCCCAGCCCCGCACGGGTTAATTATTGCGGCGAGCTGATGGAGGGGCAACTAATTTCCGGACACCCTGTATGTTGGAAGGAATTTTACAGGGATGATAAATAAAAAGAGACTGCATGTCTTACATTAGGCATTAGTCTGATCCCGTCAGCCAGGTGTGGAGTCGATGGATTTTCAAGTGACTTCGACTCCGACTCCGGCTATAAAAAATCGAATCCTACTCCGACTCAGACTCCGGACGTTTCTCTTCACCCGCGCCCCGCTGGGGGGGGGGGCAGAATCTGCCCCCTCCCGTTTTTCGCCAAAAACTTCTAAACGCGTTACGCCAGCGACGTCAAACCTGCAGCACCTTATCATACATCAATTTAACACGTTTCCTGAAAATTTGAGCGAAATCCGTCGGATTTTTTGTTTAAGAAAGTGACGTTTAAGTGACGTCATGTCAGACATTTTCGCCTCAAAAACGCCAAATTTCAAACGCCGCTAACATCTTCAATCTTCATTTTTAAAGGAATCAAGACGTAACAAAATAGGTGATTCTACTTTGTCTATCAAATGGCTATCTCGGTTTTTTGAAAATTTTGGATTTTCGCCCAAATTTGTAAAAAAAAACTGACTTTTGGGAAAATAATTATAAATCCAAAATTTTGAGCGTATCGAAAAAAAAACGGAATATGTGTCAGAGAAGTGGTCTATGTGCACCTACATACCAATTTTTAGAAAAATCGGTTCAAAAATGTCGGAGTTATTCAAAATTTTATGACGTCACGACACACAAAATTTTTGAAAAATGAATTTTTTGGAAGTTTTAGACCGCGTACGGAAACAAAAATAGCACGATTCGATTCGCTGTGAAAAACTGCATCAGATACACTGTAGGTACACACCTTTTTAGGTCTGAACAACCAACTTCAAAATTTGACCTCATTTGACCTGACCTCGACCTGAAATTCATCCAGATGTGGTCCATATCACTTATTGAGTGTGCCTATTGAACTCTATGAATAAATAAACCCATAAAACATGTGTCGCACATGCCCTTTTCTATATTTTGTTTTTGGTGACTTGACCTGACCTGACCTTGACCTTGACCTTTGCACGATATTGTATGGAACGAATATTGTCACGTTTTGTTTGTAAGAACACGTTTTGGGCAATCAGTCTCAGTCCATTCTTCGGCAACTACGGTGCAAGGCCGATACTGTAGAAACTTGTATTTTGTACCCTTGACCCGACTTACTTAAGCAAAAAAGTTGAGCAACTTGTTGAGAGCTTTCGATTGACCATCGGTTCGGAAGCTAGACAGGGGGCAGAACCTGCCCTCCCCTCCCCCCCCCAGCAGGGCGCGTATGACTGAATAGCCCAGCGAGGCGCGGATTAAAATCCATGTCATGATAATTAAGTTCACAATGGAGATGTTTTTATTTTGTCTTAAACGATCATTAGTGCGTTCCAAGGCCTCACATTGCAAATATGCTTGACAGCGTGCAAAATTAAAAGCAGTTCTGGCAACTCCGCCGTCTTCTGCTTCTTTTGCTGAAAACGCTCGTCAAAAGCAGGATTACTTTTTTCGACAAAACCTTATTTCGAAAGGTCAACGAGCGTAGTATCGTCAAGCAAACAGGTGCAGGGCAAGCGATAACTCCGACTCCGGAGTCAGAGTCGGTGACTCGGTAAGATTCAGGGGCGGTCGCAGACTTGGCGTTTGGGGGGGGGGGGCAACTTGGCAAAGGGGCCCTTGCGCAGTGTTGGAAATAAGGCCGTTTGCTGGTCCCAGTCGGGTCCAAACGATTTTGTTCTCCTTTACAAATTTATACTTCGGCACCTGAAATCTCTGAAATTTCATGCCTTTGTGAAGAAAAACTGCTATTATTACGTCTATAACATGGAGTTATAGCATTAAGAGAACACATTTTATCAACCGTCACATTTAGTAGGCCAAACATACATGATTTTCCTGGTGAGTGTCCTAAAAGCTGGCCGGTTCTCCGGACAAATTTTATTCTCTGGAACCAGGACCAAAATTCACAACTCCAGCAATGCCCCTGCGCTGACCCGGGGGCCCAGTACTAGCTTAACCCTCGCCGGCCGAGGGGGGGGGCGGGTGCCGCCCCCCCCCCATAGGTTTTTTTTCGCGATAGCTCCGAACACGCTGGCGATAGAGAGCTGAAACTTGGCATACCTGACCTTTGATCCAAGCCGCATCTTTTGACACCAACCGCATTTTTGGGTCAGGTCAGGTCACTGACCTATGACGTCATAAGTGAACCTCTGCACGGTCTTCAGATGTCGCAACTTCGCAACGCCCTCACTGCCAGAGGAGATGTCACAGGGAAATGAAACTTGCAGGATCTAGTATCCATTATTAGTCTCACAACTTGTATATCTCGGATTTTTCCTAAAGGTCATATGAGGTCAGGTCATTTTCGTGACCTCACCATTATAAGTCAATGGGGAAAACTGCTATTCTGGCGCCGGGAACGATCTCCAACTATCTCAAGCACACAGAATCGTGATTTTATGCACTCCTTGCAAGGTAAGATGCGTCACTTTTGCAATGTTGACCTTGCGTGACGTCACTTATGACGTCATCAAGGTCATATTAGTTTTTCGTCAATAACTCTTCATCAAATTGAGCTAGCGAGTCGAGAAAGCCACCAATGGACTCAGGAAGACCTGCCGAATCGAATGATATGCGATATGACCTCTTTCGACCAACTTCGTGACCTGGGGGTGCTGACCTGACCTTGACCTGAGGTCAACACCCAAAGTTGACCTGACCCGGACAAAAAGTATATCATTCGACGCGCCTGAGCGAGGCGAACACGATGCTGCCAAAATCGCGGCTCTGCGGCCGTTTTTTGCGAAGTTATTCACCAAAAACTGAACCGTACCCTGGGGCACTTGACCTGACCTCAGAGGTCACCGGTTGACCTAGGACCTTAAAATCGGGTACCAATCTCTGCGTCTCGTAACGGCGCACACGCTCGTTTTTTCCGCGACGCGCTAGCTCCACCAGGGGCGAAACGGCGAGGGGGGGTCGTACCCGCCCCCCCCCCCCTCGGCCGGCGCGTATGTAGAAAACCAATAGGTCCGGCGAGGGTTAAAGGGACTATCCCACCTTTAACATGGGGTTTGAGTTGAGATAGCCAAGTTTGCGGCGAGGTTCAGAAACCATTATCTATCTAGGTTGCAACCCCCGCGGCCTCTTGGTGTTGAAGAAATTCGTTCCCTTCATTTGAAAATGGGCCTTGTACAAGGCCCTATCTTCAACATGGAGCGACCGTTAGTGTGACGTCACCTCCATGGGCGTCGCCACCACTACGGACACTACGGACAGTGTCCGTACAAGTTTTGGAAGGCCCGGAAACTTGTACGGAATGTCCGTACAAGTTTCGTCGACCGCAAATGCAGTCTTCGCAGCACATGTTTGAAGCAGGTTAAAGTTTATCAGGCCCCTATTTGTGGTTAACCCGCGACCGCCTGGGGGGGGGGGGTCGGATCCGACCCCCCCCCCTCCGTTTTTCTTGAATAACTCATGAACCGCTTGCGTTATCAACTTGAAACTTGGCATACCTTCTCCCCCATGAATTTGACGTCTCCTGTGCAATTT